GTGGAACGTCTATGATCTCATTATAGATGATGAAATGGTCATAGATGGGGGCGCAAGGGGTGGCCGTAGGCCAGTGTGTACCCCGCTCCCCTTTCAGGAGACATACTCAGCACTGTCTGCAGAGTGCCTGGTGGTCTGGGCATCCTAGGACCTGCCTAAGTGACACATTCAGGCATCTGCCTCTTGATAGACTGTGGAGCACCAGAAGACTCCTGCTATCTGAATACTGAACAGAGAGCCCGACACGCAGCAAAGGGTCTGCCAGTCCAGCGCACAGCGGAGTGGTTGATGGCATTGTGGAGCATTTAATGCACATTGGTTCTCTGCTGAGCTCAGTGTCTTCCTCCTCCTGGGCCAGCTGTGGAGCTGGCTCAGACCCTGGCTTGGAAGTGGAAGAGCCTGGACTTCAGTCCTGCCTCTTTGCTCTGGCTCATTCACTCTCCATGGACAAGTCCAAGTGCTGGCACTTAGAGCCAAGTGTGGACTAAGCCCCGATCAAGCCACCGGGTTATGGAGTCGGGAAGGTGGAGACAGGAAGAGGACACGGCACACAGTGGATGCAAACCCTGCCTCTGCCCTGGCAGCTGGGCCTACAATGCACATTGCTCAGCCAGACTAACGTGGGGGACCTTAACCAGAAGACAGCACCCTTGCAGCATGGGGTTCCTTTGGGCTCTGGCCACCTGGATCAGAGGACCATGCCTGTTTTCTATCCACCGTGCAGGCCTGACCTATCTGAGAGTGGGACAGTCAGAGGTATGCTGGGGCTGTTACCGAGGTAGGGTGCACACAGAGACTTGGCAGGCTTCCCATTCATGTGACCCTGAGCAAGCTCAATTTCCCCAGGCCTTATGTCCTCAGGGTTGAGCTGGGAATGATGGACCCCACCCCTCTTGCTGAAGGGGAAGGTTGTCATGAGAGCTAGTAAGGATGCCTGGGTGCTACCTGGTTAGACCCAGCATACAGTAGCCACTGTGGGAGCAGAATTGTATATAGCAGGCACTCATAGGATAACATCTGCACTGTGATCTCCGGCCTGGTGGCTGGTGGGTGTGTGGATGGTGTGTGCTACCTAAGGGTCTTCCTTCCCCGTCCTGACTCTGATTGCAAGCACAACAACACAGCCAGTCTTTCTGTGCCCAGAACCGAACATAGTTGGCACTCTGTGGTGACACTTGTCAAGTCACTAGGGACTGGCATGCCAGAGAGCAAGGGACGGGGTGGCTATAGCCACTGTCCATCTAGCGGCCACCTGGCTTTGGGCCTCTCTGGAGCAGAGTGTCTGCTTACACGGCACCTGCCTCAGCAGGACAGAAGTTTCTTGGCAGCAGAGGGAGTTATTTAAGGTCCCCATTAAAACGGCTAGATCTTGATGGAAATAGAGCAGCTGCCACAGTGAGGACCCGAGAGAAGCCGGAGAAGGACAGAGACACACGTGGGGGTATCTATTCCAGGCTCTGCAGGAAAACCTACCTTCTGGTCACCGTCTAGATGTGACTACACCGTGGTGACACAAAGGAGCAGCCTCATGCCCATGGCAGGCAACTGTCAACACGGAGTTGATTGGAAATCATAGGAATCCTTTCTTCTTTCTCCACCAATCTCATTTTTAAGCATTTGCCAACAACCAGGCTGCAAGTGGCCATTCGGAGGGGAGGTGTCTCCAGCAGCATCAAACAGGCCTTAAGGGTGGCCTTGGGACTCAAAAATACAGCCAACATAGATACCTACTATATACCGAGCTTAGGTTCAGGTATCACAAAATACTGAGGAGGCAGGCACAGAGTAGGGCCGTGTGCACTTACTGTCCACTTCCATCCATTCCCTTGTTCCGTAATCAGACAGACAGGGCCTTCATTCCTTCTCACTGGCTCAGGGAGTCCAAGACACCGCTGGTTAGAGGAAGGGTTGCTTTTGTCATTGAGGGGCTGCCTCTTGCTTCAGTCACTCTGCGAACCAAATGCCCTCTGCTGGGTCAGTGGTGGCTGGTATCAGGTGAGTCTTTTTCATTTGAGATTCAGTTTACAGTTGGCTGATGTGCTTTAACCTAGTTGCCTCCCAAATGCAGATTGTCACCAGTGGGCCTTGCATAATGAGTTTCCAAATTCACCGGACTGGGCTTTCCTGTACAGATGCAGCAGAATGGGGGGAGCAGTGGTTAAGTGGACTGTTTGGTTAACTGTGGTGGAATACTTAGAACACTGAGACTTAGGAGCCTGTTCCAGGACACACATGGCTTGCTGACATACTGAGGCTCCCTCAGCTCTTTTGGGGTGCATTGTATGGTGTGCATGTTCATGTAGGTGCACATGTACATTGCATGCATGTAGGAGGCCAGAGATAGCTATTGTGTCCTTCAGGTACTGTTGATCTTGTTTGAGACAGGGGCTTTTACAAACCTGATACTTATCCACTCACATAGCCTGGTTGGTCAGTGAGTCGCCAGGATCTACCTGTCCCAACCTCTTCAGAGCTGGGATCACAGGAGTGTGTCACCATGCTCATGTTTATCTGTCTGTCTGTCTGTCCATCTGTCTATATCTATATATCTATCTATCTATCTTTCTTTACTGTAATGTACACATGCATGCATGTGTGTGTGTGTGTGTGTGTGTGTGTGTGTGTGTGTATCTGTGTCTGTGTGAGTGAGTATGTGAACGTGCAGGTACCAGAGGAAGCCAGAAGAGGGAGTTGGATACCCTGGAGCTGGAGTTACAGGTCTTGTATTCTTACAGTCTTGTAAGCTTCCAGAATTGGGTACTGGGTACCAAACTCAGGACCTCTGGAAGAGCAGCGTGTGCTCTAAACTGCTGAGCCATCTCTCTAGGTCCCATGCCTTAATTTTTTCTTTAATGTCAGTTCTGGGAATTGAACTCATGTCCTCATACTTGTCAGGCAAACACTTTTCTGACTCAGCTATCTCCCTGTCCTACCCTTAGTTTTGTTTTTGTTTTAAGATAGTGTCTCACTATGTAGCTCTAGCTGGCCTGAAACTCTCTATGTAGACCAGATTGGCCTTGAACTTCCAAGGTCCACCTGTTTCTGTCCCCTGTGTGCTAGGACTAAAAATGTGTGCCCCACATCTGACTGTCTCCCTCAGTTCTGAATCCTATATGGATCCCAGGCCTGGGGAAACTGGGCTGTAACTCAAAGCTGGACAGATAAGGGCAGGGCTGGAAGGAGCCATGGGCTTGGGCTGAATCAACCCCACAGTGAACACAGCTTGTGCTGAGATCCTGTGGGTGCAGGAGGGGCCAGAGAATGAGGATTCGCAGGTTTGATCTGACAGACTAGAATAGATGTGAGGTCATGCCAGCCAGTGGAGAAACTGTCCTGGGTGTTTAGTGAAATGAGGGAAACCAGCCCCATATTGTCTGTGGGTGTGAGGTCCCCAGATGATAACACCTCTCATGCTCACTGTTTCCCATCCCACTATGGAAAGTGTGTCTAAGACCTGGGACAATATGGCAGTGAACTCTCAACAGCCCCAGCTGGGCCACCTAGTGTGAGCACCGGCTGTCAGGAGCACATGAGCCTGTGTCTGTTCCCCTCCTTGGCCATCTGGGGTGATAAACCTTCCTGCAGACAGAGGCACAATGATGTCACATCACCCCCTCTTAATGTAGGCATGACACAGAACTTCCCAGGGACCTACCAGCACCTACAGGGACTCCACTTCCCCTGAGTCCTAGGTCCGCCAGTTGCCTAATCAACCCACACCCCTGTCTCACTACTGACATTGTAGGTCCAGATGTAGGTTCCAGTGAAGGATGAGAAAGGCATGAACCCCACTGGTGTGCCCAGAGTCCAATTTAGGTGTGGCGGTCCTTGATGGACTCTCAGTCTCTTCAATTGTATAAAATGGGATGGAGGGATGTCAAAGCCTGTCCCACCAGTTTCTGGGCATAATCATGGATGGAGAAATGAAATGCTTTGGAGTATCAGCAAGATACCCTTCCTTCTTTGCCAGCATTTCCTTGCCTGCACATCTGGGCAGGGGCTCTGCTGCAGACCCGGCCTCTCAGTCAGTGTCTATGGACACGGATGCATCCTTCCCAATCAGGTGCGTGTCTGGGTGCTTTACTCCCATGGTCTCCAATCTCAGACACGGAGGGGTGTCGCGCCCACTGCTCAGAAGGGAGCTGTGGGAGGTGGAGGCCAGGGCTGCCCACCACACTCCTCTTTTGGATACCCAACCCTCCTCTGATGCCTGCCTCTCCTCCTTTTTTTTGGATTTGTTTTTCTACTTTCTGGAGAGTTGACTCTTTTGTTTCCTGGGTCCTGATTTTTTCCTCAACTTCAAGAACTACCAGGTTACCCCAAATATGAGAAGCAGACAAGCAAGGATAGTTGCTCATGGAGGGATCCATGGATCTAAGGAGCTATCCTCAACATATTTCACCTGGGGCTGCTGGGACTTCTGAGTTGCTGCTGGGAGTCGCGGGGCCTTCTGGTACTAGAGCATCTCTCTGAAGCAGGGAGGGCCGGGTCCTCCACTTCTGCATGCAGGGCACCGTGCCTTTTCTGACAGTTTAAAGGCTAATAAGCTCCCAAGAAATGGATGTGTTAATCTTACTTTTCAGGCCCAAACACCTCTGCAGGAAGCTGGGGCTCTCTGTTTGCCAAGTGGATGGACCACTTAATTGCTGTCTCAGAGGCTCCTTTTTCCTTTACACATACAGACTGCGGGTGGCTCTGACTTTGGAGCTGTGAGAAGGGGAAGGTGGCCTGGGATGAGCTAACAGAGGAGGAGAGATCTCAGGCCTACCACACAGAGAGGAGTGGCAGAAAGGGGAGTCAGGGGAGGCCCTGGCTATCCCACACTCGGCTTCCCTGCCTCTCCCCCTCGTGGCTCTGCTCCCTGCTCAGCCCATGCAGGTTAAGCATTTCGTATGTTTCAGGTTTGATTCAGAGTGTAAGATCCAAGCAGAGATCTCTGCCCTCTTGGTGGGCAGCTGACGGAGTGTGTTTGAACGTGTGTTGCATCAAAATATGCCTTGCCGGCATCCGTAACCAAGCTGGAGGTGCTTAAGATTCTGGGAGCTTGGGGACAGACTTCGGCAACAAAAGACAGATTAGCAAGAGGAAAACAAGCCTGCTCACTGCCGAGGGCGGCCTGGGTGAAGAGCGACTCAACGCAATGGCTTCTGCCACAGTATTTGCCTTTCTTTATTTTTAAGATTTATTTATTTTATGTGCATATGTGTCTGCGTGAGGGTGCCAGATCGCCTGGGTGAAACTGGAGTTACAGACAGTTGTGAGCTGTCATGTGGGGGCTGGGAGTTGAACCTGGGTCTTCTGGAAGAGCAACCAGTGCTCTTAACCGCTGAGCCATCTCTTAGGCTCCCTACAGGGTCTGTCTTATATAGTTTTCTTATAAAGGGTGATCGGTTTCAAAGAAGGGACGGGGTGAAATGTGGCAGACACGGGATGTGCACAGAAAGAAGAGGATGGGAAGTGGGCCGACGGGGAGGCGGACACCTCTGGGGCCGTGGTCCATCTGATAGGGGTGCGAAGGGTCTGAATGTACATCTTGTGTTGAGTAGCGGGATCCAGGAGGAGAGAGGATCTTTTGTCTATGTAACCTCTGACCTGTTTTTAGACATTGCAGCTGCATGGACCAGGTGCAAACCCAACTGTCTGTCCCCAACTGTAAGCCTTGGGGATCACTGGCCTGTGTGTACCTGGATTAAATCTCTGAGGTTTACTGACCGTAAGTCCCTATGAGTCCTTGGGGGAGGACACCATCCTGATGCTGGCAAACAAGATTGGAGGTAGGGCCTGCTGGGTATGTGGGGATCCTTTTGAGGAATAGAAACCTCCTCTGAGAATGACTGTGTGTGGGGGCAGGGGTATGCCTCCTTTCTAACATCTTCACCATTCTAATCTTGTCTCAGTGGAGTCTCCCTGTGTGGTGATGTCCGGCTTTCATACGTCTTTAAAGGTTGCTAATCCATCAGACCCAGTGGTCACCAGGGAGTCTCACTGTCAAGGACGAGAATTAGTGATGCCCGTCCGTGGCTGCTGCGCTACAGTTCATGAGTGTTGCATGGCTTGTGGGGTTGGCCACCCAATGCCCAAATGCATCACTTTTAAGCCTCAAGCGCCTCTCTTCGCATCTAGTTACATGGAATTACTAACACTGGTGCTGATGAAGAGACTTGGTGGGGTCTGTGATGTGAGGAGGCAGAGGGAAAAGACAACGCAGAGGACTGCACAGCATCTTAGGGCCCTCCCTTAACTCCCTGAGGTGATCGTGGAGAGTCAATTCACTGGCTGACTTTTTTAAGGGAAGCCTGGAATATAAGAACAGAAGAAATCTGGGTGGGGTGAGTTAAAATGGGGGTCATAGTCCCAGTGCTATGGGGCTGGTCTTTCCTCCCAGGCTGTGAGCTGCAGGAATGCTGTTGTCAGGAGGACAGCGAGGACCAGAGAGGATCAGATACCTTGAAGAGCTGCAGTGGAGGATGGATGGGCAGAACATGAGGCCTGCTGGGAACTGAAGGTAAGAGTTCCCTGGTTGGAAAAAGCAGGGGGTGTGTCTAAGGCAGAAAGCACAGGTGAGACATAAGCCACATTTTATAGTTGCCTGGCCCTCTCTAGAGAATCAAGGACACTGGAGAACCAGGAGCCAATGGAGAGGACCTGCAGAGGCATCCTTGGAAGGCTACTGGAAGATTTAAATGTCATGCTGAAGTCCGTAGTTTTTGAGAGAAACTTTGTGATTGGAAGTCTTGCCTCCAATTCTTTTCTTTTCTCTCTCCACTGAGGATACAGGACAAGTTACTTAAACCTCTCTGGGTCTCAGTTTCCTCATCTGTGAAATGAGATTGTGGAATTACCCCACCATATAGGGTTGAGGGTGAGGATTGAATTTAAACCACATGCTTCCCACTGAGCTTACCCTAGCTGGTGACAGGACAGACAGGACAGCCTCTGTTGGATTGGGTTCCTATGGAGTCTGTGTGTGTGTGTGTGTGTGTGTGTGTGTGTGTGTGTGTGTGTGTGACTTGGAGTCTCTCACCTCAGAAGAACCTGGAGTGTTGAGTGGGCAGGATCATAGATCTCATTAAAGAAGCCAAGTCTGTGAGAGGTGAAGCACCTTCTCCAAGCTTGTATGGTTGAGTTGGAGTGGAGAGATTGAGACATGTCCATGTCGCTGTTTGACTCTGGAGGCTAGGCTGGTGTCTGAGTCTGGTGGGGCTGCTCCAGGCCTCCTTCCCCTCTAGGAGGCTCCTGTATCTTGGTCTGAGTGAACATGACCCCAGATGTTGAGGGAACAGCCAGCTGGAAGCTGACAGGTGCCTCCTTCCCTGCCCTGTCCTCATTCTGTCCTCTCAGCCTAGCACAGGACAGCCCTGCTCACTCCCCATGGGAAGTTCCTGGATGGAACGGAGGCCCAGGGCCCAGGCTCTCCTCATGATAATGTAAGCACGGCATTTCCGTTGAAATCCCTGCCTGGATGAGCCGCTGGCTAGAGGGTTTAACTCGTGTACACAGGCAGAGCTCATGGGCTTGTCCCTAATATTTATTCTGGTGACTGTAACATGCAGATAAGGTGAGTGCCTGGCGCCAGCACGCAGAATAAATTTACATTCTGGAAGCCACAAAGAGCTGAGTATACACAGCATTATGGGCCTGGCTGGGGGCCTAGGGAGGGGGAAGCCAGCTCCCTCCTCAGCAGGTTCTGGCTGTGATTCTCAAAGCTGAGGCTAGCCTTGCACTTGAAGCACAGTGTAAGTTGACAGCGTCTAGGCCTGAGGTCTGCACACAGACCTGAAAGTTTGACTTTTGTGATGGGAAACCTCAACCACCATCTTGCTCGGACACCCAGCCCATCCACACTGTTCCACAGAGGACATCTGAGGCTTCGGAGCTTGCCCTTGTGTGGCCTTCCTGCCCCTCAGCTGGATCAGAGCTCCTTCAGCTACAACCCCTAAGCCCACAAGAGGAGAGGTGCTCTCCCTTTGCTTGCTCAGGAGTCTCAGCACAGGGATGACAATATATGTGTATCCTGAGTGCTGCCTGCTGCGGTGGGTCTGCCTTGTGAGGCTGGATGTGGGGGACAGGGTAACATGGTCCTGGTGGAAGGGAATGAGCCCCATCCCCCCTCTGCATTCATTTTCCTCCTTCTAGAAGCCTTGGATTGGAGGTGCCTTCTGGGAAGACTAGGACCAAGGCCTGTGTCAGTCAGAGTCTTGGTGTTTCCAGTCCCTAGCTGAGCAACCTTGGAAAAAAAATACTTGACATCTCTGTGCTCAGCTTCTTCCACTATAACCTGGGGTTGGTGAGAATTCCCTTCTCATGCTAAGGTGACTAAGCACCTGGCACACAGTAGGCACTCAATAAGCGTTTCAATCTTTTGGTGCCACATATTCATGCTCGCTATAGAGCATGCTCAGGGAAAGAGGCACTAAACAATGAGGGAGATGCAACCATGAGCATCGGTCTTGCTGCTGGCTCCCTGGTGTCAGAAGATGGTGGGGGTGGCGGCTTTGCAAGCGCACAACAGTATGGGCCTCTACAACTGGACTGCTCCATGCTGCTGCTAATGGCTCACCACTCTTCCAGGAGGCCAGCTGGCAAGCCGACGGTGTTGGTCCTCTTCCATGTGGAAAGGCCTAGCGGTTGTTTACCCAGGAATAGATGGGTGTTCCTGGTAGGCAGTTATCTTTCCCGCCTGCAGGGCCTCAGACTGCTCCACTATGCAGAACACCAGGCCAGGGACTGAGTTACCTCGAGCAGGCGCAGCAGCAGGCTGGGCAGTAAAGAGCAAGATCTGCATAGTATTTGCACCTCCCGGAAACTGCCAGCCTTACAGAGGGGTGCCCTGTCCTTCTGAGAGCCCAGCTCAAGGACCACATTGGAGCAAGAGTTCTGAGGATGGTCCTCCAGCCTGCAAGACACACTCCAAATATAGAATGCTGGTACTTCAGCAGGAGATCTGTCCTCAGCAGGAATACAGGGGACTTGAGTCTGGGGAGATTGCTTCCCAGTTGGTAGAGTGCTTGTTGTGCAAGCTTGAGGACTTGAGTTCCACCCATTGAACCCACATTAGAAAAACAAAACAAATACACAAAAAAGGTGTGGCGGCATGCACTTGCCACCCCAGAACTGGTGAGGTAGAAGCATGCAGAACCCCAGAGCTGACAACAAGTCTAGCCACTCCGCCAGCTCACAAAACAAAGGGCAGGACCTCTCTGGGAGGGCATGGTGGCCAGGGCTCAGGCTCTCTGGGGAATAGGAACTGGGCCTCCAGATGGGTTACCAAGGATATACTGTCAGAGGCTGGGGAGGACTTGAATCTCAGGGAAGTAGTAGGTCTGCCTCTGTTTGAGGACTCTACCTACCTCTACCTTCTGGGAGGCTGTGTGGCCACCGAATGCTCCAGCGGGACCCCATCTCTCTCGAGGGTCCATTAGCAGAAAGGGAGTGGGGGAGCCTGGGTGGAGTGAGACAGACTTGGGGGCCCAGCACCCTTTTGCCTTGACCCCTGACCCTGCAACTTCAGAGTGCTGTGAGCACAAGCCCTCTGAGCATCTCGGTACATTCTCAGCCTCACTCTAGGGAGCAGCTTGGTGTCTGATGGACCAGTTCTGCCTATTGCCCATCACCTCTCTGCTCCCTGACCCCTGGGGACCTACCGGGGCAGTTTATGGGTCCTTCTTTGCCCTTCCCTGCTTGCTGACCTCTCATTCTCTTCTTTCCCCAAACCCATCTCCCTGCCTGCCTCTCCTTAGTCTATTTAGTAACATAGCAGAGGCCTGTATAATTTGGTGTCAGTTAAAGCTCAGTGGGGACCCAGCACCCATTACCTAACTAGCTGGGTGGTGCTGGATGGTAAACAACCTACCTCTCCCTGCCTCAGCTTCCCTCTCTACTATACAGTTACAGAATAAAGTCCCCAGGCTTTCAGTCTGCAGACCGTGGATAGGAAAACGCTTGATAAAGGAAATCACACAGCATTGACTGAAATTCTGTCTGCTCAGACCTGTGCCTGAGGTGCAGCTTGAGGACTATAGGAGGGCCAGGCTAGGTCTGAGACCTGCAGGGAAAGAGGCCTGGGTGTAGGGTGGGGGTTGATGCTAGGATGTCCCAGTACAGAAGGGTTGTGTGGATGCTGGGTGGATGGCAGGCAGGGTGTGTGGATGCTGGGTGGATGGCAGGCAGGGTGGGCTGAGCAAGGGTGGGGTATGTGGTGGAATGTTCCCAATTCCTGCTCCCTCCTCCTCCTTCCAGGAAGCCTCACTCCCCTGCACAGCTGCTGCGACACATTTTCGTATCAGGACATCCAGATCTATCCAAACAAGAGGTGGCGGCAATCTGAGACGTCTACACAATCTGGGAATTGAGGGTACTTGTGGGCACACCTTTGCCTATGTTTCCCCAAAACCCTGGGTTGGAGAGGGAGAGGACATCCTGGTTGTTGAGGCTAGGCTGTGGTACCGGAAATGAATGGATTCCAAAGAATGTACCAAATTCACAGAAGGCAACATCCCTGGTCCCAGCTGTCCATTCTGGGAGTCCTCAAGTAATGGTTCTCAGATGCCCCTGCCCTGATGTTGATGCTTTGCTGACAATGACAGATGTGCAGGTGGTTGCAGTGAGCTTGCAGGGCCAGGAGACAGCAACAGGGCTGTCCACCTCCATGCAGTTGGCATGGACCCACAAGGAAGTACAATGATTAACACTAGGACTGTGGGTGTGTTAACATTGTGGAGGTCAGATGCAGCCCAATAGAAAAGAAGGGCCTGGACTAGCTTGGGGCTCTGTGGGTGGGGCCCTAGGTTTCAAGCCACCAAGATGACCAGGAAAGCCTCAGCAGACTCCCACACACACAGCTGATGAATTCCCTAGGGATTTGGGCCTAGGAATGGCTTCAGATCATGGCTGTACCCTCCTCAGTGGTTCATGGTAGAGAGGGAGTCTTTGGGACCCAAGTGCAAAGCTTAGCACACGCTCTCAGCATTGTGGCACTGGATATACCATTTAAACACCCTCTTTGCTGACACATACGCCTATTCAGGGTGCCCCCTAGACATCTGCAGGTCCTCCAGGGTTTGTGTCACTGAAGCCTGCTGTGGACGCGGCTTCTTGGCACTTCTTCAGAAACCAGGTGTTAAGAGCTCTGTGACAGCCCAAAATCCTGCTGGACGGCCAGGGCCTTACAGTCTTTCTTCTCATTGTCAGCCCACAGTGAACATATCTGACCACAGGCTTCTTGTGCTTTTGTATGTGCAGGGGTGTGCCACCTATACATGTATTTGTGTCAATGTGTGCACACATGTGGTTATCTATGTAGAAGCCAGAGGCAGGCACTGGTGAGCTCCATCACTCTCCACCCTATTTTGAGGCAGCGTCTCTCCGTGAACTGTACCTCACCGAATCAGCTACACTGGCTGGCCTGTGAGCCCTGGGGATTTACCTGTCTGCCTCCCCAGCACTGGGATTACAGAGGCCTGTTGCCACGACAGCTGGCTTTTTACACAGCCTCTAGGGATTGAATCCAGGTCCTGTCCTAACTGATCCCTCTCCTGAGCCCCCTGGAGCACTGGTCTTTCTACAGATGAGGGTCTCTGCTTATAATTGCCTTCCACATGCTGTGCATGAGAATGGCTGGTTCACTCCCCCTTGCCAGCACCAATTACTCTCTTCCTGTTTAGTCTCTCTGCTAATTACACATCATCACTGGAGGCACAGACAGACTCTGGCCTGGAGCACTGGGTAATAATGAGACTGTAGCAAGTGGCTTCTAGCAATGATTTGAGGGTGGTGGCAGCAGAGGCCAGGAAAGCAGCCGAGGCCTGAGTTTCCAGCCGCGCTCACTGCCTGTGTGACCTGGGCATGTTTTGTTTCCCTCTCTGAGTCTTTGTCTATCAGGCTGTCTCAGGCACCTCTGGGTTGGCTTCCCCGCCTCCGCCCTATCTCTTGCCTTGAACAGCAAGCGGATCACACTTGCTACAGCGCTGGTATTTGCTGCAGCCTGAGCTGACAAAGTGACCTTTTGAGAGGGAGGATTCCTCCATCTCATTATGCGGCCTCCAACCTTTGCTCAGGCTCCAGCCATCCTGTTTATTCTTCTCATGAATTTCTGCTTCTACTTAGAATAAGAAAAACGGTCGAGATGGAAAATGACAAAAATGAAAAAAGGGTCCGACAACTTATAAAACCCAAACTTCCCCTGAGCCCTACAGAGATCTGGCATGATGAGGTAGTCAGGGAAACGGGAGGCAGGGCTGGGTCTTCGGGCTCCGTGATGAACGCTTTAAAAATGTTTTATTACATTTTACTTATTTATTTTGTGTGTGGAGAGGGGGTATAAACACACCCTGGTGTGCCCTGGAGGTCAGGGGACAGCTTCAGGACTCCATTCTTTCCTTCCACTGCGCGCGCGTGTGAACTATCCGGTTGATGAACTCTTAAAGGCACAGGGTGCACCAGAGGAACTCAGCACTCAGCGCCTCTGGTGCCCTGGACACAAGCAGGGGCTCACATTTCCTCTTAGGGGATACAGGAGAAAAGCAGGAGATGGCTACCACTCTGGACACGAGACATGAAAGGCATCTGCCTGGAGAGACAACGCCTGTGTGGCATTGGCTTCACGGATGGTTCGCTGCCTAGGCTTATGTCAGCTTGACACACAGACTGGAGTTATCTGAAAGGAGAGAACCTCAGTTGAGAAAATGCCTCCATGAGATCTGGCTGTATGGCATTTTCTTAATTAGTGATTGATGGGGGAGAGCCCAGTCCATTGTGGATGGCTCTACCCTTGGGCTGGTGGTCCCGGACTCTAGAAGAAAGCAGCGTGAGCAAGCCATGAGGAACAAACCAGTGAGCAGCTAGAGTTCTATTGCTGTGAGGAGACACCAGGACCATGGCAGCTCTTATAAAGGAAAACATTTAATTGGGGCTGGTCTCCAGTTCCAGCAGTTTAGTCCATTGCTGTCATGGCAGGAAGCATGGCAGCATGCAGGCAGGCTCAGTGTTGGATCTGCAGGCAGCAGGAAAAGTGAGTGACATTGGGCCTGGTTTGAGCATCTGAAACCTCAAAGCCCAGCCCCCCTCCCCTCAGAGGCACACTTCCTCCAACAAGGCCACCAGTCTCCTAATAGTGCCACACCCTGTTGGCCATTTTCACTCAGACCACTGCATGTTCTGACTTCCTTTGATAATGAACAGCAATATGAAAGAGTAAGACAAGTAAACCCTTTCCTTCCTAACTTGCTTTTTGGTCATGGTGTTTTATTACAGCAGTAGAAAAGCCTAACAAGACAGGTGGAGGGAGAGGCTTGCCCACCACCTAAGCAAAGGCCTGCCTCTGTCTCTGGACCTAAGTGCCAGTCTACCAGGGACACTGTAGGAAACTTTCTAGCCATTCCTGGTAGAGGCGCTATTCACACAGAGATCTGGGATGCGTTCTCACCCTGGCTTCTCATAAGAGGATCTTAATAGTCACACTGTCTGCGCCCAGACACAAGGGCATAAAGGTAGTTTGAAGGGGTCCTCAAGAGACCATCGACAGGCAAAGGAGAAGAGGTTGCAAGTGAGACCAGGGAAGGGGAGGTCAGGGAAGGGCAATGATGGGGGATGTCCTTCTGTGTGCTGTGAATATGTATTTCTGTTATTAGTTGGTGAATAAATACTGATTGGCCAGTAGCCAGGCAGGAATTATAGGTGGGGCTACCAGACTAGGAATGCTGGGAAGAGGAACAGAGACAGGGAGCCGCCAGGGAGATGCCATGTAGCTACAGAAGGAGTAACATGCTGGAGCATTATGCATAAGCCAAAGCCTCGTGGCAATACATAGTTTAATAGAAATGGATTCATAATTAAGAAAGAGCTAGCCAATAAGAAGCCTGAAACATCGGCCAAACAGTTTACAATTAATATAAGCCTCTCTATGTTTATTTGGGACTGCGGGGTGGGGTGGGGGTTGGGAGGGTGGCAGGACAGAAACCTTGGTCTACAGGGCATGGCCAGTGGTTCCTGGTCAGCACCAGGAAAGCATACATCAGGCAGGAAACAACCTTGTGTTGGTGGGCCGTCGTCCTAGGGTATCAGTATTCACAACACCCAGATAGGATGGGCAGCTGGTGACCAGCGCTGTCCCCAGAGTCTCCCTACTCATGGTTGGAAATTCAGTCTCCAAAAGACTGCCATATTCAGGCCTTTGTACTGTCTCTTCTGGGGAGGGACCTCCCCTCCCATGTTCACCAGGTCACCAAGGACAGCCCTCAGCATACAGTGTGCCGTTATCCAGAGCTTGCCTGTTCCTTTTCCTCCTCTGGTGAGCTCTAGGATGGCGAGACAGGGAGTATCCATCGGGCCATAGCAGGAGAGACACCTCTTCAGAGGGTGACGAGGACAGGGTGACATAGTTCACTTCCTGTCGCCTGCAGATCAAGAGCTCCTTCTCTGGCACCATGTTTTCTTATATCCCACTATGATGATAATGGATTAAACTTCTGAAACTGTAAGCCACCCCAATTAAATGTTTTCCTTTGTAAGAGTTCCTGTGGTCATGGTGTCTCTTCATAGCAATAGAAACCTTAACTAAGACACCTTGGAAGCAGTGTTATATCACGGCAATAGAAGGTAACTGACACACAGTTCAAAGCAGTCTGTCATGATGGGGAAAGTCAAGGCAACAGAGGCCGAAGCAGCTGGTCATATCACCACAATCAGGAAACAGAGAGGAGTGAATGCCTGTGCTGTCCAATGCCTTTCTCCATCTACGTAGTCCAAGATCCTCTGTCCAGAGTCCTGCAGTTAAGATGTCCCTTCCCAGATCAATTAACATAATCAAGGCAATCCAGAGGGCTGCCTCCCAGAAGATTCTAGACTCTGTCACAGTCACCATCAGTTACTTCACTCAGATAAGCAAATGTCTTTCTTTCATGGATGCCTACAGGAGCTTGGTTCCAGGACCCACCTACAGGTACCAACATCTCAGGGTACACAAGCAAGGATGGCTTGGTGAGGGCGGAAGGGGACTCCCCGTATCTAGAATTAGATCTAGGTATCTTCGAGTCTAAAACTTAGAGGAATGTAGAGACAGCCCCAGAGTTGGGCTAGCCTCCACTGTCTCCTGCAGAGTTCTTGACTTTTGGATGAGTGACTCATGGAGACAGAGGCTGTTGGTATATGAAACAGCATTTTACAAAGATAGGACATTAGGCAATGGAGAGAGAGGAGGAACAAATGGAGTGAGCCCGCAGCTGCCCCGGCATGCAGCCTAGAGTTTCCAGTAGACAGGGCTAGGAAGAACTCCCCTCTCCAAGCTCAGCAAGACCTGGAGTTGAGCTGACAAAGCTGGCATTTCAGGAGACCAAGGTACCTGGAACCCATAGCCCACAGCACCAGAGGAAACACTTGTGTGGAGACAAAACTCTGAACCCATGAAGGGGAAGAATAACCAGACTGCTTCTATCTCGTGTATGAAATTATGAAGGCAAAACTTCAGTAGAGCCAAGAGCTTCCAAGTAGCTTAGCTGTGTCTCAGAACACAGCAGAAGAAAAAGAATCCCAATCCTCAGCAAGGTAAAATTCACTATCTCTCTCAAGGACAACTAAAGTGGCTGGTTCAGGATCAGGAGTAGCTGAATTCAGAGCAAATAGTATGATCAGAAGTAGGGAAGACCATGACACCAACGTGTCCAGGGACATCACAATCCTGCCTGTTTACAGTTCCCAGTGAGCTGAGACCTAGGAGAAGAAATAGACAAAACCACAGTTACTATCAGAGACAGGAATAACCCTCCCTCAGTCACTCCTTGAGCAAGTGGTCTGGGCTACCTAGTAACAGCTGTTACTGTGGTAAAATACCTCAACAAAAGCAATTTACAGATGAAGGGGTCGATTTTGGCTCACAGTTCAGTACAGACCTCCATGGTAGAGAAGTCAAGATATCAAGAACTGGAAGCAGCCAGTCACATGGCATCCACCATCATGAACAGAGAGTGATGAATGCATGTCATTGTTCAGAACCTCTCTATACAATCCAGGATCCCAGCTAAAGAATGACGCCACCCACAGAGGGCAGGTCTTCCCATCCCTGTTAAGGAAACCAAGATAATTTCCCCACATGAAAGTTCAAAGGACCATCTCCTAGATTATTCTAGCTTCTGTCAAGCCAGCAATTAACGTTAACCACTGAAAATATCATACAGGATGAAGAAGACCCAACCCACAGCCTCAACAGATTGACATTTGTGAAACATTCCTCTCAGCAGCAGAGCTCACCGTAGACAAGATGGACCTTATCTTAACAAGTTTGAAAGAGTCTAATTGGAGAAAGTATCTTCTCAAACTACAATGGAATGGAATTATAAATCACTAAGAGAAAGATCTCTGAAAAAAACTCAACATGTTTAGAAACTTAAACAGCAGGCTTCTAAATTACCCATGTGTTACTGAGTAAATCGAAAGGGGAATTAAAAAGTATTTCCAGCAGAAAGAAAATGAAAACAACACATCAAAATTGGTAGGGAGTTGCTCAAGTGATTCTTAGGGGACACATGGAATACTAAAGCCCATGTTAGAAAGGAAAGCATGTCTCAGATCAGTGACCTCGGCTGTCACCTGAAGACACCAGGAACTGAAGAGAAAATCCCGAGTAAGGAGAAAAAAAATGTCAGGGTAGAAGCCGGGAGAGAAGCAGTGGAGAGATCATTGGAGATTAGCACAGCCCAAGAACCTTCCAGCCTGAACAGTGATGGGATTAAGAAGACACAGGTATTTGTAACAGGAATGATGGAGGAGACATTTCAGCTTGTCTGTAACCAAGATCATCTATATATCTATGTGCAACCAAGATTATCTATATATCTATGTATCTATGTATCTATCTATCCATCCATCCATCCATCCATCTATCCATCCATCCATCCATGTATCTATTTTCTATCTACCTGTCCATTTATTATCTATTTCTATCTATTGTCTATTTATCTATCATCTATCAATTTATTGTTTATCATCCATTTATCTCTCATCTATCCATAGTCTGACATCTACTTCTATCATCTATTTATTATCTATTTATACATATATCATATGTGTATCTGCCATCTGTCCTCTACCTATCTATACATATATTAATCATATCATTTATCATCCATCTATAATCTATACACTATCTCTTGTCTATCTTCTACCTACCCATAATCTATTGTTTACTATCTATTTGTCATCTGTTTATTGATTGATTGATCTATCTGTCTGCCTATCCATTCATGTGCCACTCAGTCATCTGTCTATATTGTCTGCTTATCCATATATCAGCCACCTAGCTGTCTACCAGTCATCTGTTGTCTATCCAGCCATCTAATTGATACATCATATATGTGTATCTACCTCCTATCTCTACTCATCATTTCAGTATTGGATGTTTGTTTCATGCTTTGAGATAGACTTTACTTTGTTGTTTACATAATTTCAGGCTTGGCCAATGAGAGCTCTTTTACTTGGTTCTTTCATGACCCCATAGCCTCATCATTGTTGCCTTCATTTGGCGGCGGTGGTGGGTTGGTTGCATATCCTTGTTTTCTAGCATAATGGGATACCCCAGGTTCACCTTGGGAGTGTCCTGCCCAGTCCTAACTCCTCATATTTCTTACTGGAAAATGGTGTTAGAATCAAGATTTAAGTACCAGAGGTGCTCTTAGCTACTGGGAAATTGTTGCTTTCAGGTCCCCTCAGCTCTTAGAGCAAGATACTAAACCCTACATATACATGTGTATGGGCGTTTCTGTATATAAACAAACATTCACGCCTGTGTTCAACTAACCACGGACGTGTCCACACTAATCCATCACCAACTGCATGGATCGTTCTCAACTTCTCTCCTTGTTCACCCGGAACTTGTCCACACTAGCAGTGAGGAGATAGCTCCTACCGTGCACTTCGTTGTTATTTTCAGTGTACAGTGCAGTGATTTCAAAGCCACCCACAAACTAGAACAGGGCTCGTGTGATTTTTGCGATCAGAGGTCAGCCCTGTGTCCCCTGCCTTTGTGAGGCTGTCCTGTTCACCTGTGATACCCAGACTCCATTGGAAATGCCCTGCCCCATCCTAGCAGCTCATAGTTTCTATTGGAAAACATTATACAAGTCAAGGTTTGCATAGCAGGTGCGCTCTTAGCTACCAGGCAGGGGGTCACTGCTTTCAGGTTGTCTCAGCTCAGAGTCAACACCAGCACGTATTCCTCTTGGGGTCCTCC